TGCTTTTGCACTTTCAGGTGCCTTTTGGAGAGCCAGCGAGCCAGAGCCGACGCCGTCACCGTGCAGAAATCACCTTGTGTTTACTGTCACCCTCCTTCCTCGCGCACTGGCACAGATCAGCAGGATCTCGGTAAAACAGCCTGAACATTTACGCGGTCTGATTTTAAACCTGTAAAAAAAAAAATTTTTTAAAAGCACTTTCACCTAGATTTAAAAACGAAAGCGAAACTTAAAAACCAACTTCCCTCTTTCCTCCCCCTGCCCCCCAACAACTTGAAAGCAGTATGTTTTAAACAAGATTATTGTGGGAGAACTGTAAATACTGGCAGAATATTTAACATGCTTTGTCCGTCCTTCATAATTAATTTCTTTAATTTTTTTTTATTTTTAAACCGTAATCTGTAAAGTCGCGTATATTTGACAAGGAAACTCAACGAGCTATTACCGCTTTTCTTATAAATACCCAATAGCATATCAGGATTGTAAGAGTCGATGGCAAGTCGGATTTTAGGGATGCCCGCGGGCGATGCCGGTTCCAGCGTGGGGACCCGACGTGTCGATGCGGTTCGGAGGGCGAAAAGGGGACCTGGCTGATCCCCGCCAGCGGCGTTCGGCGGGGCCGGATTCGGGTGCCGGCCCCGGTTTGCATCGCCCTGGGGTCCGGTCTTGACTGTCATGGCGGAGGGGTGCCTTGCGAGCTTCGCCTGGATGGATTTAGAGTTGGGAGGAAAAGGGGGTGTGTTCGGAGAAGGCGAGGGTCCGTGTAACCTGTCTAAGTCCTGCTTCCTCGGAGGGTTTTTTTGGTGCAGGGAGGGGGTTCGGTCCGGCGCGGCGTTGGCTCCGGCGGGTTCAACCTGGGTAAGCGGGGAGATGCCGGCGCCGCGGGTCGGGGCGCGAGAACTGCTGCAGTCTCACGTTTTTACACTACATAACGTCTAACCTACCTCAGATCTCAGTCATTAAAAAATTAGCACGCTTCAGACTTCTTCTACGAAAACTAGAAATCTATGCACAGCTCTTTACCCCTTGCTGCTGAGAGGCTGTTTTTCAAGCAAAATCTTTTCCTTTACCCGTCCTGGCGGCCGCGCTCGTCCCACCCGCGCCGAAGCCAAGGGGGGGGTCATGGCGTTAAGGGGGCCTCGCTGGGGGTGTGGGTGGGGGGTTGTGTTTAATCGCTTCGGGGGGAGATGGGGACC